CCTGTCGGGGTCGCTTCGCACGATTACTCCGCTGCCGTTACCGCTGTATGCTGTAGCTTGTTGTTGTTGGTGGGCTGTTGGGTTGTTTGTTTGTTGTTGTTGGTGGGCTGTTGGGTTATTTGTTTGTTGGTGTTTGCGCTGCATTCGCCCGTGTTGGTTAATTAAAATAAATCCGTTCTTTGCAGTTTTGCCGTTTAACTTCCGTTTCCGACGTAGCCGCAACAATAGCAACAACCGCAGCCAGGAGCAGCAAAGGCAGCACTGACAACACAGAGCGAGTACGAGAACTTGAAAAAATAATGCCAAAGCGAGAAGGTATTAAAAATTGTGAGAATGTTTGTGTCGCCGCCGTGTGCGTTGCGTGTTTAGAAGCTATGTGGCAAGCGGTTGTTGGTTGGCATGTCGGATTGTAGCAGAATGGTGTCGGCAGGCTGCGGCGCTTCAAAGTGCAACCTCACTAATGCTTTTATTTTCTACAACATTAGGCAGCTGCAAGCGCCGTGTGTTTGGCTGCTGTTGCAAGGGCGTTTCATGTGGCATTGTTCTTGAGCCTGCCGCTGTTATTGTTGCGGCCATTATTGTTGCTTTCTTCTCATGGTTTTCAATTTCCATTTTGCTCTCTTGCTCTATGCAATTTTTATGCGCACTTTTCAACGACTTTATTTTATCGACTTTTCCCTCACAAAAGCAGCACCCCAACCCCCCCACATCGAACTTTTGTATAGCCGCGCATCATATGAGCTTCGCTAACATGCGAAGGCCTTAGAAGACATCCAAATGGTATAAATAGATTTGAAGTATTGTTGTAGATGAATATGTATTAGTGTAATTGTTTTCACAGCTTTCAGCAGGCGTAAGCGGATAATAAAACCCGTGGTTGGCTATTTAAATGTCAGTTCATTAAGTAAAGTAAACATTACATTAATTGGGGGCGGTCATTGCTGCACCGCGTTGTTGTAATGAGAAGAACAGCGTGGAGTATGTACTTTAGTCCAACGTCCCATTGATGTGTACAAACAGATATCCAATTGAATGAGGTTGAAAAGCTTGCCGACGTGTTACTTTAAAGGACTCGTGTATTTAGAAGGCATGGTGAAGCAGTTAAGCAATATTTTTCCTCGATATGGAGCACTGGATCTTCCAGTCATATTCTGCTGTAGCACGGAAGATAAAATCACACAGCAGTGGCTTAAAAGCAATATTCCTGGCTGCAAATGATTAGCCATCTGGAAGTACAGATTTGGATCCACTGAATTACAGTGTGTGGTCAGAATTGGAGAACACGGATTGTGGAATACCCCACAGAAATTTGGAGATTTTCAAAAAATCTTTGATTCGAGCAGTGTCAGGTTAGTTTAGGTCTCAAGGTTGATCCAAAAATTAATGGATCCCACTTGAATAGGTATTTGTCTTTTGTATTACACGAAAACTCCCTAAAGTGCATCACCTCACAGATCGACGGAATGTTTTGAGCTCACTAAAAATTCAATATCAATCTCAGTCACTTCGCTAGGTTTTACACAGATTTGTCTATCCAGATATTTTAATCTCAGTCTGGCAAGAGCCGAGCAATAGCGGAAAAAGTGACAAGATGACTCCACCTCGCCTTTCTCGATACAGTTTTGGCAAAGAGTGGCCCTCAAAATATTGAGTGATACCGCGTGCATGCCTATTCAACAGAGTTCAGTCAAAACACCTAGTACTGTAGCGAGCTTGACCTCTTAAGATTCAATCAGAGCCAGCAGATCACGCTGTTGCAAAAGTTATAGATCTGGACTAGCAAGAAGGTCTACTTTGCAATAAGCATGCTGAGCACCTAACAGCCCGAAATTTTACCCCTAATGTGCAGATCCATTAGTATTTCAATCGTTTTCAATAGAAACGAGGTGAAACTGATATGTCTGAAGTCCTTAGCAATGACATGAGAGCTTTAACCGAGCTTCACGACGCTTCAACTTGCCTTCAAGACACCGAATGTGGCCTAATCTGACGCAGTTCGTGTAAATGGTGGCTAGTCAGCTGCATAATACGCTGACGCTTTGCAGGTATAATGTTGTCGGGTTCCAGAGACTTAAACGCCTCAAAAAAATTCATATTTGGTTGGTTCAAAAAGTCTGTAAAAGCTGCATAGCCTTCTTGAAATTCTTCCAGGTGACTTCCTCAGCCGATAGGTACCTTATCATGAATCAGCAAAGTATATCTGCTAACTGCACCAGCCATGTTCAGAACCGCATTTGAAGTAAGAGAATTCAATGTTAATCCGATCTCTATAGATTTATCGCTCCATTTTGCTTAGTAGGGTTTTATTATATGAAACATATACCTTACTGACTAAAATCACTGACATTTTTTGTTGCAATGCTAGTCTAACAGTCTCTATATAAAAATAAATAACCCTTGTACGGAACGACATACGGCCACTAGTTAGCTGCCTCACCTCAATCCTTCACGGCCAGCATACTCATATAAACGTTTATAGCCCTCTTTTTTTGAGAGATGTGTTTTTGCTTTGAAGCCTGCCGCTGCTTTTGTTTCGTACTCTCTTTACGCGTGCAAATAACTTCAATAGCCGGCTCATCACAATCGGCAAAGCAGATAAACTTCAACAGTACGGTCATTGCCACGCTGAGCGTTGCTACTCCATTACAATCTTCAGTCAACAAGCATGTGTACTTGAAGGAAGGCCCGTGCACATATTAATATATTGTGTATTTGCACAAGCAAAGTCACACTTTTATCCTGCCAGTGCTTTCTAAATTTGTATTTTACTTTTTGTGCCTCCATCTCGCATTATTCCCATCCCATATCGGCAGCAACAGCCACATCATCGTTTAATCCTGATTTTCTTTATCCTGTGTTTTCTCTATTAACATTGACATCATCATCGTCTTCATTGCTGACATTAAAGTACTTCGCTAGCATCAAAGGCAAGTTGCCGATTGTACGTGAATAAGTGTAAGCACTCGACTTCCGCACTCCGCCCTCTCGCCCCTACTCAACCAAAGCTAGTCTGTTTAGAATTACATTTTCGTCCTACAATGATTGTTGTTGTCACAGCGAAAAACTTCATGCATGCGAATATATCCGCACGAGCGCCATTAAGTTGTTCCTTAAATATAAATACACACTTCTTTACGGGAAGTGAGCGTTAACTCCAACGGATTCTTTATTGGCGTAGACACTACACGCGGTTATAGTTCAGTTTACAACAGGAGAATCCAAGTGCAGCCAGGTCCTTTCCATCTGATCTTTTCAACTGATTGGAGGTGTTCTTTTTCCTCTGCTTTCCCTGGCGGGTACTGCATCGAATACTCTCAGAGCTGGAGAGTTTTGAACCATTTGAACGACATGAACTAGCCAGTGTAGCCGCTGTCTCTCAGTCGCGTGGATGATTTCACATTTCGAGGATCTGTAGTTAATAAAATCTTCTTTTTTTACGGTTCAACTTCAAAGGACATAAAATAAACACTTTCCAAATTATAAAATATGGTCTTGAAATAAGCAAACCAAATGAACTAAATATCGATGTTTTCTTCTAAATGTTCCTGTTTGACCTTCCCATTATCCGTACGAGTAGTACTACCGTATATAGCCAGTTAATAAAGCCGAACTGAAAGGTAGAGCTCACCTTTCAATATCATCAATGATCGTACAACATTTGATACATTTATTGTGATATGGCCCTGCGTAGGTGATATGCCATAGGTTAGGTTAGGTTAATCTGGTAATAAGCTGCGCATAGTCCACTTTGGTCCTTGGCGTTACCAGATGGTAGTCATCCTTCATGATGCCTGCGCTTGACGCGAATTTTAACAGACTTCGCGGACTCACTATCGATAACTCCCATACTGTGGGAACCCCAAATGCTTACAGAGTAATCTTGCCAATGCAGGACACGTGCACAAGAGATGCTCCATTGTTTCCCTGGTACCTTGCTCTAGCTATTTCCTGCCATCTTCTTGATCTGTCAGCCCCATCCTGCGAGCATGTGTCGCCACCAGTTACTATTTCCATCATATTTCTACAGTCTCTTCTATCGAATGCCAGTAGAAATTCCGTGTACTTTCGTTCTACCGTTTTGCACATGACTTTTGCACCCAGGTAGCTCTTTCCATCAGGTGATTGATTTTCTTCACCATGCTTCTGGGTTTCTTAATGATGATCACGTTTTCGGATGTTAGCCGCACACCATTCTTGGCAATCCCATCTACTTTTTCATTGCCCTCTATGCCCATGCGGCCTGGCATCCAGTCCAAGTGAATTTACTTGCTCCTTGCAAAACTTTTAACTGCTTCCCAAGACATTTCTGGCCGATGTGTGTTACGAGCTTTCTGCCTTGATTGCTGCATGCGTAGATGTTGACTCTGGAATTGCCTGCGGATGCATTAGAATACAGTTCCGTGGATTCCAAATCCCAAATTATCAGAAACTATTTCAAAGGCCTTTTTCCGAACCTCAGTTTCACTTAAAAACCCTTTGCTTTCACATAAAAACTTTAACATGCGCCACAAGTAGGAAAAGACGGACAAGGTAACTGGTAAAGGTGTAAACGCAAAATATATATATATTGACGGAGCTGGTATGAAAAATGTTTGCTTTCAGAATCACCCTAAAATGTACGCATAATATCTCAGAGGGTTTCCTTTTGATGAAGTTTCCACACGATAAATGCGTTGGGTGGATTAAATTTTGCGTAGAGTGTATTCGGGCGTTTGCTTCGCGCGTATGGGATATATAGTTTCTAATTCCTGTAATTGTTTAGTGTACTACTTATTCTTAATATATATTAATTGTAAGACACTTTTTAAGCTTGTTTAAATAACACGCTAACGTGGATTTCTTTTCGGTTTAAAGGTTCAATTTTTGTCTTAAATTAGCTATGAGGAATAAGAAACTAGGAATAGTTTGAAAGGCTGTGATCTAAGAGACCTTCTTAACTCAGTTTTACTATTGTCAATTGATAAGTATAAGTGTAAAACATGCATTGAAGTTTTGCTTACCTTTTTAGTTATTCGCCACAAGATCTTCGGTGTCAACGTAGAAAAAATATATCTGCAAAAGAAAAAGAAATATTGATAAATACTATTCAGAGAAAAGAACATTTAAAAAGAAATAATAATAGCTTCGGTTGCAACGAAGCTATAATAACCTTTTCAAATCAAAAAGGTTCAATGCAAGAACTTGTTTTTGATCCTTCAGATTGTATGGCAGTTATGTATATGCCATAGTAGTCTGATATCGGCGGTTTCGAGATAAGGGAAGCTTCTTGGCCGAGAACGTATGCAAAATATTGATTAATACAAAAAGAAACTATTCGCAGGGCCAGATCTAGCGGAAACGGTGGATGCGGAAGCAATTCGAAGCCCAATTCATAGAATTTGCTAGCATTTAGCCACCCAACTGTTGGGGTTTTTCATACTTTGGAGCGGGTTCATCGTGTGCAATCTACTCGAATGACTGTCGATTGAACTAAGGAGTAAAAAAATAAAGTCATGTTTCCCCCACATCGCCGCAAAAACTCAAGTCTATTACCCGGGAACATCTCCAAGCACTGCTCTGAATCATCAACTCGTCGTTGTTTTTGGTCTTCGGTGCTCATTTCACATCTAAACTTAGCATACCAGTCCTTGATGGTTGATTCTCCTGGGGCAGTGTCCGGAAACTCATTATCAATTGTAATTTTAACTTCAACTGTATTTTTTCTCTTCAAAAAGCAATATTTCTTCAACACACGAAATCTCTATTAATCGATTTTATCACTATAACAAAACTTCCTACACTCAAAATGAAATAATTCACAAGTTATGACCCAATAGCTTTCCAATTTATACCCACACCTTTTGAGGGTTAGCGGTAACCAAGAATATAATTCTTTTAATTAGCGCCATCTATCATACGGGTCAGGCCGGTCTAATTGGCAGGCATGCCAGTAGATTAGGAAAGCTATAACATGACTATTGTAGAAGCAGTCAGGAAGTAGCCGACGATTCAAGTAGAGATACTTTTTTAACAGCTTTTTTTTGACAGATCACACGTGAGTTCCTCAAGCTGTCAAATTATTATTCTCTCGCAACAAAGTTACTAAAGAGAGTATTATAGTTTTGTTCACATAACGGTTGTTTGTAAGTCCTAAAACTAAAAGAGTCAGATATAGGGTTATATATACCAAAGTGATC